CCCTTTTACCAGTTTCTTATGTGTCCTTCAGACATTCTTTCTGAGGATATAAGAATATATATCCTTTTCCTTAGGTAATATGGTCAAAGTCATCATTCTATAAAAGAGTCCGAATGAGCAATTCTGATAAACTGGCTATCATTCCTCCTCTCTGAAAACCCTAGTAATTTCTTCAAAGCCCAAGACACACACAGCTATGAATAGGCTGTTCACCTCTCCCTGGGAGCAAGTGGTTGAAGCTCAGACAGTACAAAAATATTATTGCTGCCTTGGGGCGTGAAGAGAGAGCTTGAGCTAGGAGTTAGGTAAGCTGTCTGTCAGGTGCTGAATAGGAAGTTTGTCTGAGCACTGCTAAGCTCCACTACTTTCTCACCACCCTTGTATGCCTCTAATAAAGGTCTTCCGTGTCCTCTCAGGGTCAGGAATTAGGGAGTGTCTTCTGTTTCATGTGCCACCCCCTGTAGTTCTCAGAAGAAACTTGATTCATTCTGCTCTCACAACTGTGGCCCCTGGGCTCATTTCGCTGCTACCCACTTCAGTAGACCAAAGGAAGGGTCAGTGGGATCCAGTTCAGTGACCCTTTCTGTTTTTTCTTTTCCTGTTATACAAGGCTTCCACAGAGAGTCCCAGAAATGGGCTACAGGCTCTGGTATAAACCCTGATTCAGTCTCACTGAATAAATGAAACTGAGCCAGGCGTTTCCCTTTAATAGACCTTAATGCTTCCACCTACTAAATGGAATTAACAATAATGACTAAACTCATAGAAAGAAAAGATAAATAATCTCTTTCATGATTCTCTTATCCTTATGAGGCTGGGTTTCTTTCCTTTCCTTTCCTTTCCTTTCCTTTCCTTTCCTTTCCTTTCCTTTCCTTTCCTTTCCTTTCCTTTCCTTTCCTTTCCTTTTCTTTCCTTTCCTTTCCTTTCTTTTTTCTTCTTCTTTTTTTTTTTTAAATGTAGGCTCCATGCCCAGTGTGGATCCCAAAATGGGGCTTGAACTCATGACCGGGAGATAGAGACCTGAGCTGAGATCAAGGGTTAGATGCTTAATGACTAAGCCACCCAGGTGTCCCTGAGGCTGGGTTTCTTAAGAACAGAGACCATATTTTATTCAGATACACAATTAATAAATGTGTGGGAGGTATTATCATTCCCAGTTTGTACCTAAATCAATAAACCAAATGTCTCCTTTCTCAGGACCTGACATTCAACCACTATCTGCTTATGTTGTCATCAGTTACCTAAACAAACAAGTGGACAGATTGTTTTTATGCACTGCCCTCTTCCTGCTTCCTCATAGCAATGGTTTCTGAGTGAAATGGACTATGTGAGTTAATGGGAAGACCAAGTCCATTCTGGGCTTTAGGATACTTGTGAAATATCAGGCACTGATTCCCTCCTATCATTTTTCCCAGAGTGGCTTTCTCAACACAGGCCCGCTGTGGAAGGGGAAATGTACTCATTATCATATCACCTCAGGCATGACTCACATTTCTTCAGAAACTTCAGTTTATCACAGTGAGGCTGACAGAAGGTGTCACCTTGTGTCATTGCCGACAGTCAAGTATATGGAGCAAAGCAGAGGTTTCAGTGAAGGAAAGGGGATTGGAAGCAATGCCTGGATCTGTCTTAGAAGGAAACAGAGGAGGTGGTTTTTGCCATGAAGTGTGATTAAGAACAAAGTCTTGGGAGAGTCTCTCTCTCCCTGTTCCCTGTCTCCCCACTAAAAACCCCTTTCCTCGCTAATAAGCCACATCCCACCATTGGTGATTCATGTCACTGGACTGAGAATCACCCTCACTGTGACACTCTCCCTCACATGGATGTTGAGCCTCATTGGCCTTGGAGCGTCTCTATCCAACTGACTCTGTTTGCCTTCTTTCCCATTCCTATCAGATACACAGCCTGCTCTCCCTTCCTGTTAAATTCCCCACCATCAACTTTATCATCCTGGGCTCTCCTTTATCATCCTGGGCTCTCCTCCACCCACTGCCGCTGGACCGCCCGAGGAGGAGGGCACACTCTCCCCCGCCTCCCACTTAACTACAAAACCTCTTCCATGTAGGTCATTTGTTGCCAATCTCTAAGATGGGGACAAACGAAAATCAGAGGAAATGGCAGAGAAATCCAGAAGTCTCCCAAAGGTATCAGCCTAGTTTATAGTTCCTGAGTCTCCTTCTGAGTCCTCTTTTCTCCTGTATGCCTCATTTATCCCCCAGGATGAGAGACCAGTCAAACCTTCACATCCCTCCATCTCTTCTCTCCCTCTGCTCATTTTAAAGACACTGCTGGAGTTGAACAATAGAAGCTTTTTTCATTCTTCCAACTAGTATTTATTGAGTATCAATATGTCCTAGGCACTGTCCCAGGTGCTGGGAATACAGTGCTGATAAGTGTTTATAGTCAAGGGAATAAAGACAAGAGTAAACAAGCAAGCTAACAACCAAACCCGATAATCAGTGGCATGAAGGTGACAGTGAGGCCTGTGATGAAGGGTGACAGAAAAGGGCTTCTGGAGCAGTGATATTTAAATTAAAACCTAAAGGATGAGAAGGAGTCAGTCCTGGAAAGAGATGAGGGAAGAGCAGGGGAGAAGGAGAAAGGGAAAACAGCAAGTGCAAAGGCCCTGTGTTTGGAAAGAGTTGAATATATTTGAGGAACAGAAAGAAGGCCAATGCGGCAGTGACGTGTATGGGGGAGAATGACACAGATGAAATTGTGGGGGGAAGCAGAGGCCAGGAAACAGGGTCTGGGGGCTTATAGTAACACATCTGTCTTGATAATAAATGCCGGGGGTTTTAAGCAATGGGGGGACATGATCTGATGTGTATTTTTGAAAAATCACTCTGGTGGAAAGTGTAGGTGGAAAAATGTAGGTGTTTGTTTATATTTTCAAAAAATACGTCTTGATGGGCTGGTTACTAAAACCTCATCTTAACTTGATGATTTATAGTTGAAGGGAAAGATGACACCCATCTCTGTACTGACCAAACCTCCTGTGGGAATTGAACATGTAGCCACGACCTGTATCCCAACTGTGTGGGGAGTTCATTCTTTCCAGGGTGAGGGGTGCAGGAAACAGGGGAGCAGGAGCCACATTCTGAAATGGGAGAAGATACTGAAAGGCAGGAGGAGCTGGAGCAGCCAGTGAGGGTATGAAAACAATCTTTTTAACATACCTCAACATGGAGCTTGGCCCCTTGGGACCTCCTGTCCTGATAGTTCTGATAGTTTCTGAGAGTTCTGATAGTTTCCACCATATCCCCCAAATCCAGACTTCGATTCCTAGTAAGTCTAGAACTCTCTAGACATCACCCACTTTCCCAGTGTTCAAGCTTTGGGGAGTTAAGTGTGATTGGGATGGTATAAAATGTTCAAAAAGTTTTTTGTGTGTCAGTACTAGAGACCCAAGAGGAGTTGACAAAGGCATCTGGCTGAGAATCGCCAGGTGAGTGTCCTGGCCAGTGTGCCCTCCCACTAGGCTCTAGGCAACATTTGGTAGGCTGACTTGCTGATAGGATGCTAAATCTACAGAATTTGCTCAGAAATACTATAAGAAATATCTGAGGAGGCATCCCCTGGATCCTGCCATCTTTCCACGGAGCTTTTGCCATTTCCAAGCAGAGGGAGGCTGGAAGACTTCCAAGGAAAGCTACACAGGAAGGCATATAATTTCCAAGGAACTGACAGATCACTTTCAATCAGTCTGCTTGGCTCTCATAACATTTCCGAGCTCATTCTCGGAGAAACACTCTCCCTTGTCAGCTAAGGCTCTGCTAAGAGGATTTACTCCCACGGCCTCACTTGGCAAAGCTACACAGAAGACTACTAAGTCTGCATCCCTAGGCTTAATTCTTCTCCACCATTCCAGAATCCAATTTTCAACTGCAGGCTTATCATTTCCTGGATACCCCACCAATGTCTTTCAGTCAATGGGTCCCAAACCAACCCATCATCTTTCCCTCTCCTGGTTTTCCTGTTTCTGTTAATGGAATCACTGTTCCCTCTGCTACCCTGGCTGGAAACATCTGAGTCATCCTTGACTCATCCTTGTCTCCGATTCTCTAGATCAAATCAACTGCCGAATCATGTAGTATCTGTTTCCGTGATGTCACTTGAATTTGTCCCCTCCTTCCTATTGCCACCATCTCTCCTTGGTGGCTCTCGTTACTTCTCCCTCCACAGGGACTCCTCACCTTCCCCCTCACTAACAACCTCCTTCCATATGTGCTTCTCACGCACAGACTGACCACATTGCTCTTGTCCCCGTGGTTCTCACTGCTGTTGCCTTAAATATAAACTGTCTTTTAGCTTATAAGGCACAATTCCTTTTCAAATACTCTGTGTTTAAGGTAAATTTACTAATTCCTGCTGTAAGACATGACTCTTTCCTCCTTTCTTTTGAACACTCTTAGGAAATGATCTTGTGAAAAAGTAATGTCTTATATTGCTGAATTCTGCATTTATGCAGTTGTATGCTTGTTTTATCTCTTTAGAGGCTTCACGGTTCCTGTATTATTTGCCTCACATAACAATTGAGTACATGCATGTACCTGGCGCTGTTCTAAGAGCTTCACCCAAGTGAAAATATTTAACTCTCAAAACAATTCTAATTGTATCCCCCATGTTACCAGGGACAAAACTGAAGTGCAGAGAAGTTGAGGAATTTGCTGAAGTTCCATAACTAATAAGTGGCAGAGCCAGGATTCACATTCACACAGTCCAGCACCAGAGCCCAGGCTCTTAACCAACGAACTTACCTCATCTCTGTTACCTGCATTCCTGTATCATAGTTTGGATTTAGTTGGTGTTTTATAAAGAGCTGAGGCTGAAGCCACATGTCCATTAATGGTTAGAAATATCAATGGTAGGCTGAGCATGCCAGTGTAAATTGATATCAGAAGCTGCCTTAAGGTGTTTCCCAGGAAATCACTCTAAAGATGAGAAACATCATTGTGCTATTTTCTTCCTAATTATTCTTTTTTTTTTCCTTATTCCAGTACATGGGCTGTATTGAAGTACTGCAATCAATGAGGTCACTGGATTTTGGAATGAGAACCCAAGTTACAAGGTAAGAGAACAAAAAATGTGAGTGGCTTTGAGGACCACGGTTTACAGTCAGAATAGTTTCTCCCTGTGGGAATTTCTTGCAAGCCTTCAAAGTCACCATGGGCTTTTATTTATGGCTGGAAGGTAGGACATAGCTCAGTGACCTAGGATGAGTGGCTCATCATGTGAAAGATTCCCCAATGTGTGGTGGAGCATCTGTATTCCATATAAAAACTGATAAGATGATGTAGTCATAGAAATAGCTGATTTTCTGGGTACTGAAAGTATTTAAGTGTATTCCTGGCCATTGAACATTAGAGAATCTCAGACCTTTTGAACTAAGTAGCTGAAAAGAAGAGCAGGGAAGAGCTTTCTGTATTACGTCCTCCCCATTTACAAGACATGAGAACCTGAGTCTTCCTCCTTTATGTACAGAGAGCTATATGGAAGAGTTGAACCAGGGGAGCCTTACCCTGCATAGGGGAAGAACCATGTACTACTGTACACAGAGCATAAGTCAGAAGCAGATGTATAAGGCATGGGGTCTGAAGGTCAAGTTCAAGGCAAGAATGGAAAGAGGAACAAAGAAGTGCCGAGACTGGTACCTGGGAGAATTGTGAAGTGAGGGGATAAGGTGAGAGGACTGGGTTGATGTGAGTGATTCAGGATGAAGCCTCAGGCATCTGTTCTACATGGTGCCACTGTGTGTCTCAGGGACAAGCCACCATGCCCATCTGCATATGTGGTTGCACGCTACCCTTTCTAAAGGTGAATGTTCTCATTATGAAGACAGGAAAACACTTCTTAATGCTCATCCCATGAAATTATAGGTGTAGGAAAAGTGTCATGTGGTTCAAAGTTTTGGGAAAAGGAATAATATTGCTCTTTAAGAGAGTGTAGTATACAAGATAATATTAAAAACCCTGAGAAGTGCTGTGCAGGAGTTTAAAGAATTCTATCTCAAGATTGTCTAACTTATTTGGCTCCAGAGTCCTTTTTTCATGTAACGTAAATGAACATCTCACATATCCCTAGGGCTCCATGAAATGCACTTTAGGACGTGCTATTTTGGACTCACTATGATGCATTTTAATCTGTCTTCCCAAATTTCTCACTGACCCTCAGTATTCCCTATGGTGCCACATAGATGAAATTTAATTCTACTCTTGTACTTTTGGTGGCCACCTCAGTTCCTGGCACATGGAGAGGCTCAATGGAGATTTATGGAATAAAAATATGGTTCCATCTGGCTACCTCTCAGGATTTGGAGATAGCTGCATTTCTTCTCCTCTGAGTTTTCTCTTTCTCATTCTCAGATCCTTCAACTATTCTGCAAGTGACCTGGTGTTTAGATGACTTCCTCTGCTAGTAGTCCTACTTTGGATATGTCCAGGCTTTATTTTCATCCTAATGATCCTTAACCTGGAGAAAAACCTTTCTCCCAATCCTGAACAGATTGCAGATGAAAAAAAGAAAGTAGCTACCCCGGGTACCTGGAATAGAGGCACAGGGCAAAGAAATGCCCATTTTCCTTACCAGAGGATGACTGATTTTTTTTTCATTCATCTCTTCATTTTCTTTCATTTAAATATTTATGGAGTGCCGATTAAGTGTCTGAAACTGTACTAGAATTAACGATGCAGAAGTTTCTGTGACCTCATGGAGTTTATGTTCTAGCTGGAGAAACAAGACTATATAGCAAGGAAACAAATAAATATACAATATAGGTTCATGTAGTAATAAGTGCCATTACTGTAATAATAAAGCAGGGTAAGAGAGTAGAGATGGGGGGCTTTTATTTTTTAATTTTAAATATATTTTTGTATAGTTGACACACAGTGTTAAACGTTAGTTTCATAGAGATTCAACAGTACTTTATGCTGTACTCACCACAAGTGTAGCTACCATCTGTCTAGGGGCTGGGCTTTTAAATTTTATTTTCTAGCTATAAAAATACTGTGTGGTTACTTAGAACATTTGGAAAATACAGAAAAGTATGAAAAAAGAAAATCATTCATAATCTCACTTAAGGTTATGTCTACTAACATTTTGTATTTTGGAATACCTTTCCAGTCCTTTTTCCATATATGAGATTTAAATGATTTTTATAAAAAATCTGGGAAATAGTTGATATTATTTCTACCATCCTGAGCATTTCCCTGTTGCTAAATATTCACAACTATTATTTATTATAATAAAGTATGCATAACATAAAACTTACCATCTTAACCATTTTTTAAAATCTTTAATTTATTTACGAGAGACAGAGGGAGAAGCAGGCTCCCCGCAAAGCAGGGACCCCCATGTGGGATCCCAGGGTCCTGGAATCACAGCCTGAGCTTTGCAAAGGCAGATGCTTAATCGACTGAGCCATCGACTGAGCACCCCATCTTAACCATTTTTAAGTGTACTGTTCAGTAGCATTAAGTACATTCGTGTTATTGTGCAACTATTCTACCATCCATCTCCGAACTTTTTCACCTTTCCAGATTGAAACTCTGTACTCATCAAATCATAACTCCTCATTCCCTCCTCCCCTAGCCCATGGCAACCACCATTCTATTTTCTGTGGCTATAAATTTGACTAGCCTGAGTACCTTATGTAAGTAGAATTATACAGTATTTGTCCCTTTGTGACTGATTTATTTCATTTCACGCAATGTCTTCAAGGCACACAATATAACTTTTGAAAGCATTTGGTGTGTATTGCTAAATTGTTCCGCAGAACTGACTATTTGATATTCTTGCCTCTCAACCATGTAGTATCTATTTTTAGTATCGATTATTTAAATCTTTGTGAACTTGTGAGGCTGTATTTTCGTATTGTTTAGTAAATGGTAAAAGATTATTTTTTTATGCCATGAAGATTCAGTCTGTAACTAATGTTCACACCCAAGGGAAGGTGCCTGGCATAGTATCTAGATGTTATTCCTCATAGATGTGTGCATGTGTGATTCAGGCATGGCACATTGTGCTCTGGGCAGATTTGTGAAGCTCAAGAGTGGTTCACTTTCTCTAAAACCTTTAATTCCTACCCTACTTCCCAAATACTTACTTTTCTTTGTCCTCTTTATTTCATTTTCTTTTCTTCTCTCAACTTAAAAAAAAAGATTTTATTTATTCATTTGACAGAGAGAAAGCACAAGCAAGGAGAGCGTCAGGTAGAAGGAGATGGAGAAGGGGAAGGAGAAGCAGGCTCCCCACTGAGCAGGGAGCTTGACATGGGGCTTAATCCCAGCATCTTGGGATCATGACCCAAGTGAAAGGCAGATACTTAACTAACTGAGTCACCCACCCCTCTTCTCTCCGCTTATATGTATTTTGACATTTGGCCACTTTTCAAGTTGCTTTGTTACCAATAGTCTTGGATGGATGTTATCATTAAAACGTTAGGGGTGCCTGGGTGGCTCAGATGGTTGAGCGTCTGCTTTTGGCTCGGGTCATGATCCCTGAGTCCTGGGATTGAGTCCTGCATAGGGCATCCCACAGAGAGCCTGCTTCTCCTTCTCTCTCTGCCTCTCCCTCAGCTCATGCTCTCTTTCTCAAAAAAATAAATAAAAATCTTTTTAAAAAACTAGGTTTAATCAATTTTCAAGTTATTTTAAATTTAAAGTCCACATACTCACAAAGTTTCATTTAACTCATAATCCTACTTAATCCAAGAAGAAAGATTTCATTGGACCAGTTAGAATTCCAAACGAAAGAACTTTATTTTGTGCAACCTCAGCTATCTCCCCACGTTTATCGTTAAATGTAAATGTTGATTTACAATCATCAGGTGTGAATGTTGATAAGCTAGTGTATCTAATTGCCACTATAGATACAAACGATGATATTTCAGGCTGATATCCCACCCATGGTAAGTGGCCTTACCATCTCTAAATTAGTTAATACATTATTTTAGACAACCAGGAGACAGCAACAGGGAATTCCTGATGTTCGAGGAGGAGCCATGATTAAGATATAGCAGGTGGGTCAGCATTTGAAACAGAGAAGAAAGGTAGAGTAGAATTCTTGTCTTCATGACAGACTTTTCTGCCAATTGTTTGAGGACTGAATCCACAGGACTTCTAGAACACAGAGAGTACTCAAATAGAGCAGAGAAAAAAAGAAAAGGACAAGAGGCCATTCACTTTCTCAGCAGTTCCCTGGATCATACCCCTTTCAAAGCTTCAATCACATCCCTTCACCTTGACTCCAGATTTAGTCCCCAAAGGAGCCCTGTGGGTGGCTTCTATTGTTGTTCCTCAATAATTCTCACCCAGACATTTATCCTCTTGACTGATTTAGGACCAGATCTCAGTTTTGAGTAACCAGGTATTCATGCAAAAGGGCGAAGGAGGAAGTTTTCCTGATAGAAAAGAGAAACAGGATCATTACGACAACAAAGGCTCACAGCTATAGCAGACATCAAAATGTCTAGAAAACAGTATCAAGAGGAAATAAGAGAAAGGGGAAGCGAAAATCATGTTAAGAATGATATAGTCATTTGTGCTTTCTCTCTTTTTTAAAGATTTTCTTTATTTATTCATGAAAGACACAGAAGGAGAGGCAGAGACATAGGCAGAGGGAGAAGCAGGCTCCCTATGGGGAGGCCATAGGGGAACCTGATACAGGACTCGATCCCTGGATCACAGCCTGAGCCGAAGGCAGATGCTCAACCACTGAGCTACCCAGGCATCCCCATTTGTTCTCTTCTAAAAAGAGTTTCTATCCTGGTTTTTAAAACAAAGCTAAAGAAAACAAAACACTCATTTGATCTAATTCAGGGCGCGCACACATATACACTCACACAAAATAAGTCAGGTCATTGAAGCCTTAAACCTGTTTTCCCTCCTTTGAGTAAGTATGATGTGGACATCATGCAAAGAAGAAAAAACATTCCTTCTGCCCCTAAAGAGGCCTTCCTTCTTTGCTTCTAGGTAGGAACCTGCCTCAGATACCGAAGGAAAGATAGACAACATTTCAGGATGAACCTAATAAGTGGAGCTGGTGGGACAGGGCTTGACTTTCAACCCTAAA